TTTTTTTTTTTTTTTTTTTTTGGAAGAAACAACTAGCTGTTCCACTTAAGAGTAGAGGGACTACATGTGAATAGTAGATTTTTAGGTTACCCTCTCTGCTCTGTGGGTTGCACTCACATTAATGAAATGCAGACTCAATGCCAATAACTGATCCTGAAGGTAGAAACAAAGACCAAATTATCAAAAGTGGGCACATATTAAATTATGTGATTATTTATGAGATTTATGAAAAGCTAACATGCTGAAAAATTGACTTCATASTGAACCAGCTCTTACACAGTCACAGGACAAGACTGAGACCAGCAAAGAAAAAAAAAAACAGTTATACAGAACTAACCTTATCTATCAAAACCTTATTTTCCTCAATTATAACATTTTCCAAAGAGAGAAGGAACCAGTGCTCCCTAAAAAAACACACGCACATTATTTCCCAGATCTGATGATGTTGGTTTATCCCCTTTACTTCAAAATATAGCTCTGAGAACCCAYTCCCAYTACACCTAYRACARGGAAAAAMAWACAAAACAAAAACCCCCCAAACCCCCAAATAGGTTGTTGCAGCAGAAATTGGATGCAAATATGTGAAATTTAAATACATTCTAAGTGGAAAAGAATATGAATATAAGAAACAGACTCAGGTCCTRGAGTCCAAGAAACATAGAATTCATTGTTTGCAGCAATATGTGAATGAGAAGTTGTGGATACACTTTCCCTCATGCAACCATATGTCACGAGGAGATAAAGCACAGTAATTATAAACTTGAATTGTTTGGACATAATCTAATCATCCCTCATTTGCAAGTATAAAATATCTGATTAATTAATGGCATGATTTCACATAAAAAAGGTTACATCACTTTCAAAGACAAAAGATACTTTCCAATACAAACTTTTTTGCACTTTTCCAATACAAAGGAACCCAAGACCAGAAATCTGTGGTGTTTATCGAAAAGCACTGKTTTTTGTCACATTTAAGCTTAAACTTTAGTTTACTTAATCATTTTAAGTTACTACTAAGTATCTTAGTCTAATGGACTTTATTATAAAGAAATGGAAGCCACAGAAATTACTGGCATAAAAAGCAGAAAATAATCCATGGCACCATCACCTCCTAGTTTTTTTTTTTCCTTTATTAAAAGCTGCAAATGGCCAGATATGAACAAAAGTTATAATGTAGTAAAAAACCAGGTTTATATCCAGAGAGACAAACCCTTCCTTCAGGTGTGCTAACCAAGCCCTGCACAGGTTCATCTGGAACTCTGAGAGGACAGGGGAAGAAGCTGGTAATTTTACCAAAGTCTGGGGTTTCTGTTTGAAAAGGGTTCTGAAACGACTTTGACTCATACTGTTAGGCTTTATCTCCTACAGAAACAAATCTCACTTTCTTGAGGTCAAAATAAGAGATGGYACAGTTTCACAGGTACATGGGAAGAAGGGAATGGGTCACCCTGAATTTTAGCATAGGACTATAAGAATGCAAGCTTACTTCCCAGAGTTCATAGACTTCTTTTCTGACGTCCTCTGATAAAAGCTGGGTCAGTTGCTGCATCGCTGCCTGAAAAAAAAAAAGAAGCCATTTCCACTTATCTATTTTTTGAGCAATATTTTTATTATTATCTTTTCTAAATAATTATTTAATTACCAAGTTAGCAGAAACATCTACTCACAGCATATTACTGTAATGTTTTGGCATGGCAASGTTTGGCCACAGCTCTGGCCAAGGCCAAGGTGGTAGCATATCTGGGATAACATATTTAATGGTGGGGGAAATCCCTGTGCAACTGCCCACAGCGAGAGGAGAAGAAATGAGAGCAGTAACTTTGCAGGTGCCAGGGTCAGTGAAGAAGGAGGASGAGGAGGTGCTTCAGGTGCCAGAGCAGAGATTCCCCTGCAGCCCATGAGGAAGATCATGGTGAGACAGATGTGCCCATGCAGCCCTGCCATAGAGCACCATGGTGCAGTAGATCTGCACCTGGAGCCCATGGAGGATTCAAAGCACAGGGATCCCCAAATGGTCCTGTAGGAAGCCAGCACTGGAGCAGGCTCCTGGCAGAACTCATGACCCCAGAAACTGTTCTGCAAGCTCTTTGTGCTCTCCCAGTTGATCAGTCTCATTTCTGTGCCATTTCTACTGTTTTCCCAATAACATGAAAGGCTGCTTCTGAAACAAGCAACATCACAGGCAAGACAAAGATTTCATGCCATGATTGTTYCTCCACTTCAAATACAGGATATAGTGTTGCAATATGGTTCCCCATTGCTTGCCACCACTGAAGCATCAAAGTCTCATTCCTTCGCACCTCTTTCCAGCTCTGCAACTCATCAGATTTCACATTAGGTGGCTAAAATTACTTACCTGGCAAAAAACCCTACTCCAAACAACACCCTCCAAAAAAACCCGAAAACTTCTTATTTTGATCAAGTTCATTTCTGTGTTGATGAGACTCACTGGTTAAAGTTACTGCACAAGGAGCAAACTTCAGAGCCAGCTCAACATCAGCAGCAGAGCAAACAGAAAAAAGGAGAACTCTGCAGTAGAAGCCAAGTATTGATAACTCACCTCAAGCCATCTCCTGAAGTGGCTACCCATGGTCTATTTTTACAACAAAGTATTTCAGAGTCATCCTAAATGTTTAATGCTTTACTCTCCATCCCGCAAAGGAACAAAGTCAACAACAAAGTCCTCACTGACTGAAATGGGAGCAGAAGAAGCTGCAATTATTTAAGAAAGCTTCTTAAACATACCTAGGCATCAAAATACTTTTTTCCTTGCCTGAATTCAAATGACAGTTCTCCCTAGACCAAAGTTGAAGGCTGATGATTAGAGATCTTCTTCTCAGAACCACCTTTAGAGGCTTCCAGGAAAGAGGTTTATTTATTCTGTTCAGTGTTTTGAAGCTSTCTGAAGAGCGTAGCAAAAACACTTCAGTGATTATTTGCCCCGTTTTATGCTTATCTGTTTAAAACTAGGGGCTGGGGGCCGAGCATGACTAACTCTAAGAGTAAGCTCTTTGCTAAAAGCGTGGAAATTACAGATCTAAGCTGCATTTGGCATTCTTGAACCATCTCTACTGACTGTAATTTTGGTGGGGTTTTTTTCAGTGTGCTTCCTAGTGTGATCTAACACTGAGCAAAAAAGCCTCTGAAGAGTTTCTGAGGCATCAGATTGCCCTCTAGCGGTGSCTACAGAAGTGATTCACATTTTCTTCAAATAGTGCCACAGACCAAAAACAAACCAACGGTTTGGGCAARTGCAAGACCAGAAAGAAAGTAACTCTAGGCATGCTGCACTAAATTGCAGCAACAAAAAAAACACCTGCATCAGGAGTTCTGTGCAAAAGATTTAAACAAACYCTCTGTCACAAGCTCATGATCTGCACCACACACACGATCTGACRTGAACTGTCGTCCATCGTATTCAGTGCACCTGCTCCATGCTCCACCTCTTGGTAAGGCTACTGAACATCAATAGTTCAGGCTACCAAAACTGCAGCTAGTTCGGAAATAAATGGCCAGGGTGAAGATTAYTTCAAAGATTCCTCCATAACTTTGTACTTGGTGACAAGTACAAAAACTACAATGAGCTGAAAACTTTACTTGGCTGTGGCAGAGTTTTCCAATGTCAATGACAACATTATATCCTTCACCACCACCAGAACATTCAAATACACAGAACACTTTGCAACTTTGTAGCTGTGCTTCRCACTTTATGTCCATACCTCTTCCCTCCTGTGTTTCTCCTCTTTTGAGATATTATCTGCAGGAGCAATATCTCCAACAATGCATTCAGCCATATCATGAACCAAAGCCAATCGTATGCATCTGACAAGAAGSAGAGACAGAATAATTAGTTTTTCAGCATTAAATGTTACATCTTGGCTAAGAGACCACAGAATTTATCCCTCACCCCTTCATATACTCAAGTTTGGCTGGAGCTTTTCTTAAACATTATGTAATTTTTTTTCACTTTTTTGTTAATGGGAGTAGTTTCCACCTAGATATGGTTTTAATTTCTGATTTGTAGTTCCTGCTGCTTGTAAACATAGATTTAAGTATAAACACACTCWAAGGTAAATACTCAAAGGTAATGTACTTAGCTTTTGTACACTTTGCTTTTGGAGATAYTGTGGTAATTAACTACGTATAATCTGACACTCACAGCTCTGTASCTATGCCAGTCTACAGCAGAGATCCCAAAAAAGGCTTCATATCAGCTCCTTGATAGCAGAGAAAGCTATACTAAAGGATATCTGTGGCTCCTAACTGCTGCRAAATGCTCGTTCAATCTGTCAAAATCTACACCATCTATGGCTCTGACATGGCTGTCTGTTGCTTCACACTTTTTCAGAAGATGTCTTCAGCTAGTTAATTTACTGCTTGAAAGAAGAGGCTTAGCTCTGAGCCTCTGTACTGAGGACTTGCCTTAGCACTCGCAGTTTAGCAATTAAAGTTTTTCGTCCCTTTCAGTTCTTGAGTTTAAACAGCACCCTGTCCAAAGGACGGACATAAAAGAAGCGGGGAAAGGATTTCAAATTCCTTCAGTGTGTTTTAAAAGCTCTTACTCAGGACAACAACTTATTTTAACATTTTGTTTGCAGCTCTCCCACAATATTAACATATGCCCGCGATAAGCAGTGGCAGTCTCACCTGTCCTTGTTAAGGCTTTTATCTTCAGTCACCAAAGCCATCATTGCCATCCTGTACATATGGTCGGAGACGCTCTCTGGGTTTGCCACGTTCCTGTACACCCATCCTGTCCGCGGTACTCTCTGCACCAGAGTCACAGAATCACAAAATCAATTAGGTTGGAAAAGGCCGCAGGGATCAGAGCTCCGAGCGGATACCACCGTATCCACCAGTCCATGGCACGGTAGAGGCTTTTGGAGGGCCTCGTTTCAGAGACACCAGCAAAAATTCCATCCCAGCGCGGCCTCCACGCTCCGGAGAGGCTCTGACAATGCAGGATACACCAAAGGGCCGGCCCGGACCCTCCAGGCTGTCCCGGAGCAGGAGCAGGGCCCAGCCGCAGCAGGTACCGCCGCAGCCGAAGGGCCCGGACCCGGCAGCGCCCACAAGCGCCCGCCGCAGCCCCGCTCCGGCCCCGCTGCGCAGCCACAACGCGGGAGGAAGCGTCGGCTCCCGCCGGCCTCAGCTGGCCCTGCTGCCGGCCCGGGGACTGCCGGGGGAGCCCGGCCCCGCTGCCGGCCCGGGGACTGCCCGGGGGAGCCCGGCCCCGCTGCCGGCCCGGGGACTGCCGGGGGAGCCCGGCCCCGCTGCCGGCCCGGGGACTGCCCGGGGGACCCGGCCCCGCGCCCCGACCCGGCCCCAGCCCAACCCCACCGCGCCGGGGCCCTGCCCGCGCCCACCTTGAGCTGCCCCAGCAGCCGCAGGAAGGGCAGCAGCCCGGCCGGGCCACACGCCGCCATGGGCCGCCGGCAGCACCACCTCGGCCACGGCTCCGCCTCCTCCTCCTCTTCCTCGTTCTCCTCCTCCTGCCGGGCGGGCGGTGGCGGTGTCCGCCCTGCGCCTGGGCCCGGCTGCGGACGGGGCGGGGTAAGGTTGTGGGGAAGGTGACTGTAGAGGGTGGAAGGGTGTCCTCAAGGCTGTGGYTCCGCCAGGATTTATTAACCACTAAACACAACGACACGGACTGCGACTACAGCGAGCAAAGCAGTAAGAGAAGCCGGGCTGCTCACGGGCATGAGCTGTGGAGTGGAGAGGGGAAGGGAAGGTGGCAGACGTGTCCACTTCTCTCCTGGGATATAGCAGGGGCAGCTTTGAAGGCAGGAATAGCTCATACTTCAGTCAAAATTGAGCATCTCGGTGACCTTTACCATGCCCAAAAATACAGTGCAAACTCATGTTACTCTTCAGAGAACAATAGCTATCAGGGTTGCTGATGAGTTAAATTATTCTGTGGACTCCCGGCATCTTGCTGTAAGCACATCCATCACTTTTATGAGTTGAATAAATAACACAGTGACTTACCTGACAATTCAGGTTTTCAAAATACGTTGAATTTCTTTGCTACTTTTATATTGCCAGCTGAAATAGCAGATAGTGGTTTAAATGTGGCGCTGGAATAGTCTGTTTTCAGGAAARAACACCTGCAGTTTTGCCAGMTATCAACAGACGGCAGTATTTTTATTTTTGTTTGTGCATATATTTAAACTCCTAAATTAATAATAAAGCCCAGACAACACTTTAGTAGCCATTTTAAGGCTGTCTTCCCACAATAAACAATACTAAAGCAGGAAAATCATTACCTTTACAGCTGTGTACACAATCATAAACACAATGCGTTGCAGTACATCTTCCCTGGTTGAAGTGAATCACATCTGTTGCAGATTTGTCTTGACAGCTCTTGAAACCATCCAAAATAAAAAYGTCACACTTTGCCCAGGCTGTCTGCCTTTCACATAAATAGTTTGTTTCATAATGTGCTCTTTGGACCTCCTTGTTCCAGCAGTTTCCTGTTGTATTTCATGGCATTACCAAGGGAAGTTTAGCCCCTTTGTGTTTGCAATCCCCCTTCAAGCAGCTGTAGGGTGCTGTGGTATGGGCCCTTACACTCTCCAACAGGCCAGGCAGGTCCAAGATACCTCAACACCTGCTCCAAGGTGACGTGGTTTAGATCCCAGTTGTCTTGTGGCCTTCACTGGGAGTGTCCCATCTTGATCTGARAAAGCATCAAAGTAAGCCCTGTGTCCAGCCAACTTGTTACCAACACCAAGCAAGGGGGACAGCAACTTTCCACTGCTGAGTTATTTAGGCTACTGTGTTATTTCCCCCTCTTTGGGACTAGAGTGCACTATGTGCTTRTGTTGGACTTGGCTTTCACATAACGCCAGATCCGTTCTGATGAAGATTCTAGCCAGCCTGTTTCTTCACAATTGTACCAGCAGAAGGGTTTATATGGCCTTGGGTCCTGAATTGAGCGTTTATCCTTGTGTTTCTCTGTGTCAAGCATGTTGAAACTTCTGCCAACCCAGTCCAGAAGCTTCCTAAAATCCCTCACAACTTAAGGTCTACTGTTGAGTGTGTTCAGCCATCCCTCCTAATTTAGCATTACCTGAAAAATAGCCTGAGAGTGCATCCTGTTCCTGTCCCGTGGTCCAGGTTTATGATAACGTGCTCTATGTGGATCCTAGTATCAACCCCAGGAGTGCTCAACTTGTTATGRACCTTCAGGCACATTGCCAAGCCACCAGCACCACCCACTGAGCCTGTCAGCCTAGGCAGCTTTCAATGCATCTGTTAAACAGCTTGTTCATGCCATCGTTCATCACTTTGTGAGTGAAAGTGCTGCAGGAAATCATTTCAACCACTGTAATGAAGTCAAGATCTGTTGTGTCCATTGCTCCACCCTTGTCCATGATAGCCAGCCATTTCATTAGAGGATGCAGTCAGGTTGGCCAAGTGTGATTTGTTCTTCATAAATCAATGCCAGCTGTTCTTGACTACCCTCTTCCCTTTTACAAGTCTCTTTCTGATAGYGCTTCATCCACTTTCTTTCTGTATTTTGCAGCCTCTGTGACTGCAAACTGAATCTTTCTGGTTTTTTTTTGAATGGGTGAGGAAAAGACATTCTGAATGCAATCATAAAATGGGCACAGAGTAATTTAATAATTTGCATTTTGAATAAGATGCTGTATCTAGTTCAGAAATGCTATTCCTATGGCTGATGACAGATGCTTTGTCTTTTAACACCTCCTGAATGTGTCTATTCAATGTACATGTTTAGTATTTATAGCACTTAAATACAGTAACTAATTTGCTCTTGCAAATTCATTAATAATTCTTTAATATGGATAATTCTTGCACATCCTACATGGATGGAGGAGGTATTATTTTCAGTTTTATTGTSTGACAAATTCTTTGCCACTGATGTCGTTTAAGGTACATTTTTAAATCGAACTTCTGAATGATATTAATGAGGCTGGACTCACAGGCACTGGCCTCAGTGTAATTTTTGTAATATTTGTCAATTTCGTAGCATTTGTATGTATATAATTCTTCTGCATGTGCTTTGTGTGCTGTTTCTGCATATTGCTTATTAACACTGGTTTTCCACACASTTGTTTTGCAACAGTACTTAAAGGTATCATTTATGAGCTTTTTCAAGTACCTATCAAATGCATCATGTATGGTATTAAATGCATAGACTATCTGTAGGCTGAAGTACTCTAACATAGTAAAAATACTAGCTCTCTCATGATTTTATTCTTGATTAAGTAGCCTGAAAACAGAAACAAATTTAGGATGCTCAGCTCAGTGCAATTTTAAGCAGCTTTYTAAATTTAATTCAGAAACTTCAGCAAGGATTAGCAAAGTCTCCCGGCAGGATATTAAGGTAGTGCTAAGTCTTAAGTCTCAATCTTTCGTCAGACTCAGCTGGCTTTTTTCTCCATCTTTTGCCAGAACAGATGGCAATTCCAAAAAAGAATTCCCAAATTAGTTGGTTACCTCAGAGTAATTATAATATAGTAGCTGGAGATGGCGCTCTCTGCCCAGAGATTTCTGCTTCGACCGCATTTGCTGCTGCCCAGATAGAAATTGTGTTTCCATTTCTTTAAGAAATAGCGCTGTGAGAGAGGGGGGGCTTTGCACACTTGACACAGTAAGGTGAAAATCATGTCCCCAGGTGATTTTCAGGTGGCTGGGAGTGGGCCGGTAACTATTCCTAGGGTGGATCGAAATCAGTTTGTGCTTYATATAGTGTAGCACCAATGACAACRTAAGGGTTTTGAAAACCCTTAYGTGTTGTGCCAGCATGGGCACAGTWAACCTTGTATTGGCAAAATATCTTCAGGAAAATTAGTAAATTGATGGAATTAAATTTTTGGCATCTGGCAGGAAAAGGAAAAACAAAGAAAAGGTTTTGTAGTTCAGTGGACATGGCAAAATAGTTGTGTATCACAGATTCATCAGGCAGGAATAACAGCCTTGATCCCCTCCTTAACAGCAAAAAGATTGATGAGCACCTGCCAGACACTGTAAATGGTCATTTTATTTCTCCAGACTATAATATCTTTCTTTATTTGAGGCAATCTTAGCAACAATGTAGAGTTAGTGAAAATCTGTTGCAAGAATTCTTTAGAGAGGATACAGAGGAGCAAACCTCTGGAATGATGGGAACACGTGCCATGTGGCTCCCTTCACTGTGCCATGCAGCTCCCAGTGCTGGACTGTGTGTCCCTGTGCCCAGGGAGCCCCACCTGAGCCATCAATACATGCGAGAGGCACCGTGCACTGATGACTGTGCCAAGGGCTGGACATCTSCTGAGACTTCCTAGAATCACARAATGGTSTGGCATRGAAAAGACCTTAAAGGTCATCTAGTTCCAYCCYCCCTGMCATGGGTGGGGCYRCCTTCTATTAGATGAGGTTGTTCWAAGCYCCATCCAACCTGGCCTTGAACACTTTCAGKGATGGAAGATCCACGGCTTCTCCAGGCAATATGTTCTGGTGTCTCACYGCACWYGCARGAAAGCATTTTCCCTAATTTCTARTCTAAACTTACTCTCCTTCAGTTTAAAGCCATTCCATCTTGTCCTGTCACTATGTGCCCTTGTAAAACATCCCATTCCATATCAGAAGGCTGAGGAGAAAGTACACTTCTGGTGGGCTCCCAGCAGTCAGMAATAACTCCAGAGTGTCTCTGTGCAGTGTAGCTAACCTGTGGCATCAATACCAGAAAGAAAAGTGTTCTTGTGGCATAACATCTTGGGTTTTCTGTGATTAGCAAGAGATTTTCTATCAGAACCCTTAGGATTAACCTAGCCAAACCTTTAAAATGAAAAAAAAGTGGTTTCACCTTATGTGTGTAACAGATGTGCTGAGCCAAGAGTAGAACTTTAGAATAGCATATTTGGAAATTAAAAAAAAAGAAGTCAATTTAAGAGCAAATCAAGCTTACATGAGCAKAACATTTCTAATGTAAAAAGGCAGCTGAATTAGAGGATTAGGTCACACTGCCCGATTAACATCATTTGATCTTCTGCTTTTGAAAAGCCACTGGCCTTCTCAGAGAATGGAAGCATTCAAACTTTAAATGAAACCATAAGCCTGGCTTAGAAAAAAACCTGCTAAACTGAAAACAACTTGCCTTGCTTCAGTAATCGTTGGTTTGTCTCTGCTGTGGGGGGATGCATCCAAATTAGGATTTAGAAATCCCTCACATTTTGCTATAACAAAGAAGTGCAAAACTGAATGAGGGCATCTTGGGCACTATGTCGGAGAGGCTTACAGCATGTGAATCTTGCCTTGCTTTGCCATATCATATTTATTTATTGTTTACAGGTGGAAGACAGATACTCAAATATATGTTTGATGTTCATTTTCTTTATTACATATTCAGTGTTAGTTTTGTCTTTTTAACTTTTCTAGGAGGAGGAGGTAACCAAAAAAAAAAAAAAAAAAAGAAGCTCACTTTGGACCATAGAGTCCTCTCAGGATCTGAGAGGTACCTGCTGAT